TTCAGTCTTTTCTCCTTATCCTTGGACTTGGCATTGGCTGCTTTATTCACTTATCAGTCTACTTGACTTCCTACAACCAATCAAGAAACTGTATTCCAATCATATTTGTTCCACCTAAACAAAGAAACCAAGTTTCTCTCTGAAAGCTAAATTAAAAGCTTCTTGATGACAGTGACTATTTCATTTTGGGTTTGTATGTAGTAGCTGCTGCATAGTGGGTATTTAGTAATTGCCTGTTGATTGATGGATTGATGCTCCCTCAATTCCTATGCCCTATTACCTGAAATTTCTCCTACTGGGAATTCTTATCCTCTCAAAGGACTTTCTGCTACCCATTGCTGAGCTAAAACCACCAATAAATTTCCTGCCTCACCAGTGGCTAAGGTTCATTTAGCCACAATCAACCCTTCAGATCCTTCTGATGTCCCCTTGGAATACTATAGTTCAGAAAGAGAGAATGCTTCCACTTGATATAGTCAGATGAAACTTCATGGGACAAATAGGACCTGAGCTGTGTTGAGAAAGGTAGGCAAAATTTCTAAATATAGGCATTCCAGGCAAAGAATAACATGTGTGAAGGGGCAAAGGCAGGAATGCTCATGGTATGGCCAGGATGAAGTAGGTATTACAACCTGATTAGGTAGATAATTTGTATAGAGAAGAAGAAATGAAGCTGGAAAAGTTAAGTGGTGCTGACTGTGAAGGACTTTGAATGTCAAAGTGAGAAGTTTAGACCCAATCCTATGAGTAGTATGCTAATAGAAGTCAGCCAAGGATACAATGAAATTGTGAGTTGGGAAAGTTATTGGTATGTAGCCATATGCCTGATTATATCTGAGTATTGTTTCCTTGAAGTTGCTACATCAGTTCTAGACTCTGACCTCAAGAATAAAGAGCATCTTTCTAGGCTGAGTTCCCAAAAGGCCAGATGAAATTGATCCTGGAGTCGAATGACCTTCATCTCCTGAGAATATATGAGTAACTGGGCTGAAGAACATATAGGTCTTATCAGCCCAGAGTAATGTGATCATTTGTGTAATGGAGAGCCAAAAGGCATCCAAATTATCTCCCCCACCCACTTGCTTTATCTGTCCTGAAACTTCTAATCACAGAATCAATACTCTGAGAGTTTGGAAGGGACTTCAGAAGTCATCTGATTCAACTCCCACCTGAAGCCTGAGTCCCCTCTATAACATCCCTAACAAGTGGTCAAAGATCTCCAATTTTAGGAAATTCATTAGCTCCTGGGGCAATCCATTTCATTTGTGGACTACTCTACTACTTCTGTCAAGCCACAATCTGCCTATCTGTAACTCCCTCTTATTGTTTCTAGTTCTGCCCTTTAAGGTTAACCACTCTTCAGTGTAACAGTTCTCCCTTTGAATACTTAATGATAATGATCACTTCTCCCCAAAAATCTCTTCTCCTAGATAATCAAATTCATGAAGGAGCTATACATGGAAATGAAGGGTAACCTTCAGCAGCCTTCATATTCCTAGGAGACTCTGGCCGTTGGAATTAACTTAAAGTCAAAAGTTAACTTTAGAGCAAGCCACATCCTACTGGGCCAATCAAGAATTTTCCCAGATGCCAAGAGAAATCTTATTATTGTACAGCTTTAGTGGAAGTGGAGGGGAAGGATGAAAAAAGACACTAGGATCATAGGAGACACAAGCTAGAATAGATCCCTCATTTTGTTAATGAGGAAACTGAAACCCCCAAAAGTTATATGATGTTCTTTAGGTCATGTAGGCCATAAGGAGCATAAGTAGATTCATACTCAAGTCTTCTGATCAGAACACTGTGTTCTGAGGTTTTAATGAAGCGGGAACATGTGTCAAAGAAAAAGGGATAGTGATCAACAGCTCTCCTATCCCCTTAGTACTGATAAGGCTTAGGTCAGGAGCTCGTTCTTTATACAGGTCAGTTAAGTGTTGGCCATAACATGGCCATAAGGTCCTCTCCTGACACCATTCCATTGGCCAGCAAGTTAAGGACCTAGTAAGAGTAGGAATGGCTCAGTGCAGCTTCATCTCCTCCCTGAAGCATTTCTTCCTATTAATAGTGGACCCAGGACATCAGATTATTGTATAATGACCCTCATAACTATTCCACAGATTTTAATACTCATAGTTCAATTTCCCCCATTCAGTCTTAAATCCCCTGTTGTGTAAATGTGGATTCACCAATTTTAATAGCCTTCAAAGTCTAGCTCACCTCACCCTCTCCATGAAGGCCTTATTACCTTTCCCAGTTCTCAGTGATCTCCTCTGACCATCTAGAATCCTCACTTCTAATTAGACACTTAACACATATTGCCTTGAGTTGCTAATTATCTTTGAGATGTGCATGACTTTTCCCCCCAGGTGAGACTGCACTAACAAGGAGAAGTCATATTTCTGTAAGGCTTTACAGGTTACAAAGCATTGAAAAGAAAGGAACTCAGAAACCTCAGGAATTATGTTGAACAAGTGCTAATGTCTCCATTTTACAAATGAAGAAAGACCAAGTTCAAACAGATTGCCCACATGCCCATAGTCACACACAGCTATTTAGCACTAGAGACCATATTTGAACCCAGGTCTCCAAATTCCAGCCTCAGTCTTCATTCCAGGACACTGTACTTCCTGAAGACAAGAATCACACATTATATGAAGAATCACCCCCATGGCACAGCAAATTTGGGCCCCATAACTTAAGAGGGATCACCTTTCTATGAATAAGGCAATTACTGAGGAGGCACCCTATTGAGGAGAGTGGAAGTCTCTCTAATAGCTGGTGCAAAGAAGACAAGAAATTTATATATCTATTTATATAAGTATATGCATATGTATGTATATGTATGTATATACACATACTATATATAATGTGTGTGTGTGTGTATATATATGTGTGTGTGTGTATATATATATATACACACACATATGCGTGTGTGAAATCAACCTGAACTTCTTACCATCATGAAGGCAAATCAGAGAAAGAAAGTGCTGCTTCCTACTCCCCCCGCCCCTGCAAGCAGGCTACCTAACTTCTTTATACATTCTTTTCCATTTTAGTTTGCCCTTAACCTTCATTTCAATCGAATTTCACCTGGATGTAAATGATGGATAGGGTGGTAAGAAGAGGGACTAGGGAAAAAGCAGGACTGGACAATGTGTTTTTTGACAGGCCCTTTTCCCTGAAGCCCAGTGCCCTCCAATGAATGGCTGGCTTCCCTGGAGTCTCTGTTCTCCACAATGCTTTGCACATTCAATAAACGCTCGCTAAATGATTGATTTTAGACAGGGATTCCAGGTTATGAGTCCAAATAGTAAAGCTTTAACTAAGGAAAGTTGAAAAGGTGGACAGGAAAAATAGGGAATGGTCTGACATTTTGAATTAGAGTCAGGTTTTAACAGCACAGGTTTTTTTCCCCCACTCCCTCTTCCAATGGCATTTACAGTCTAGGCCCCAGGGTTCCCTCCTCCTTCTTGGGGAGTGTGGGTTGTAATTTGATAATGGGCTGGACTCTCACCATATGGAGTCCTTTCAAGGACTAGAAGTGTCATTACACATATGGTGTAATTCTGCTGATCAGCCCCTGGATAAATCCCCCACATCTGGATGGTTAATTACCATTGTACCATTCCTTTGCCTGACCAGCCTGATGTTGGCTCCATGCTCTACTTACAGAAGCAGCTCGTCCAAGTGGAGCAATGGTTTCATCCCCTTCTCACTTTCAAACCTTAGAAACTTAATTTAAAATCTTCTAATGCAGTTACAATCTGATGAGATACAAGAGTAAAGTGATTTTCTAGGTCATAATGAATCGGGCTCATTAAGGATATCGGGACTAGAATGGAACACTGTCTCACTGACCCCTGACTGACCTGTTCTCAGGGGCTTTTTCACTGCAGATGCTCACCCCACCTCTTGCTTCTCCCACCTCCAGTGTATTTTACAGGCTGTCATAGCTAGAAAGCACTTTATAGATCATTTCATGCAAGCTTTTCATTTAAAAGATGAGGAAACACCAGCCTACAGAGGAAGTAATTGTCCAAGGTCACATAGCCAGTTAGTGGTACTAAACCTTGACTCTTTAGATTTATTCTATGCTAAGGGGCTTAGAGCTTCCTTTGTTGTATCTTAGCATGGAGTTTGGCAATAAAGGTTGGTGTGGTTCAGTCACTTTTCAGTCATGTCTGACTCTTCATGATCTCATTTGGGATTTTCTTAGCAAAGATACTGGAGTGGTTTGCCATTCCCTTCTCCAGCTCGTTTTACAGATGAGGAAACTGAGGCAAACAGGGTTAAGTGACTTGCCCAGGGCCAAATGGTTAGTCAGTGCCTGAGGCCAGATACACAGGTCTTCCTGACTCCAGGCCCAGCACTCTATCCATTGTGCCACTTAGGTGCCCCTAGGTATTAAAGGACCCAAGTTCAAATTCTGTTTCTTCTACTAACTAACTGTGTGACCTTGGGAACACTGCTACAAATTCTCTGGGCCTTCAAACTCTCTATTTCAAATTCTCTCCTGTTTGTTCTTCTGTAAAATGAAAGAGATAGGTTCGGTTATATATTGAGTCCTTTCTATGTCTAAATATTATAAATCTAAGAGTAGGATTTAATCTTACGTATATATACCGAGTAGGCATTCACTTACACAACATCATTTAAAGAGTTCCAGAACTATATCTGTGACCTCAATATATTTGCCTATGCTGGATTACATGGTACCAGCAATTCTGCCCTTCATTGCTGTGTGTCCTTCTTCTTTTGGTTCTGTTTAATATTGAATTAATTCACACTATAGTGGTATTGACTCATAAGGTCTAGGAAGTCTAAAAGCAGTACAGAAAACTGATAAAACAATTGGGGGAAATGGGAGAAGGAAAAAGGGTGTGGGAAGGTGAAGAAATGCTGCCAACTTCACAATTGTGTCATGGCCTGGCCCTAGTGAAAAGCTCAGGGGAGGCCTCCTCTGGAACACTTGCATTGACTTTTTCTCATTTTTGAACCAGATTCCCTTAGCCAACACCTGGAGGGTCTCAAACTTTTTGGAAACAAAGATCAAGTCGAAGTTGAAGAGGAAATCCTCAAAAGCCTAGACATGGTGCTGCAAGCCGTGACTGGAGACCGTTAAGTATAATTCCCAAATTGACAGAATTTTGGGAATCTTGGAGCCAGGAGGGAGCTCCTTGTTTTACCAAATAGCCTTTGTTGTTCAGTTGTGTCTGACTCTTTGTGACCTGATTTGGGGTTTTTTTGGCAAAGATACTGGAATGGTTTGTCATTTTCTTCTCTACCTCATTTGAGAGATGAGGAAACTGAGGCAAACAGGGTTAAGTGACTTGCCTAGGGTCACACAGCTAGTTAAGTGTTTGAGGCTAGATTTGAACTCAGGAGTATGAGTCTTCCTCACTCCAGGCTCCAAGCTCTAACCATTGCACCACTTAGCTGCCCCATAAGAGACCTCAGGGACTCTCTAATCTACCTGTGCCTGAATGGGAATGGCCTCTCAAAGTGCTATTCAACCTCTCCTGGATGATTTCCAGTCATAGGAAGCCATCTCCCAAGGCAGCCCATTTTACTTTTGGAAAGTTTTAAATATTAGAAAGATGTTTCCTTACAGTGTTCCTACACCTACCTAACTTCCACCCATTGCTAGGAGCACTGCTAGACTGAACAACTATAATCCCTTTTTCATGAGACAGCCCTTCCAAAATTGAAAGAGCTATCACGTGCTCCCATTGTGTCTTATCTTTTTCAGGCTAAACATCTCAACAACTAGTACTCCTAGGCAGGATCATGGGCTCCTTCACAATGCTGGTCACCACCTTCTAGATGTTCTCCAGTTTGTCTATTTCCTTTTTAAAATTAATTTATTTATTTTAGCTCTCAATATTCACTTTTATAAGATTTTGAGTTCTAAATTTTCCCCTCCCCCTCCCCAAGACAGCATGTAATAATCTAATATAGGCTATAAATGTACAATCATATTAAACGTATCTCCACGTTAGTCATGTTGTAAAGAATAATCAGAACCAAAGGGAAAAATCATAAGAAAGAAAAAAAAACAGACAAAAAAAGAGCAAATTATATGCTTCCATCTTCATTCAGACTCCATAGTTCTTTCTCTGGATGTGGGTAGCATTTTCCATCATAAGTCTTTTGGAATTGTCTTAGATGATTTTATTTCTGAGAAGAGCTAAGTCTATCAAAATTGGTCATCACACAATGTTGCTGTTACTGCATACAGTGAATGTTCTCCTGCTTCTGCTCACTTCACTTAGCATCAGTTTATGTAAGTCTTTCCAGGTTTTTCTGAAATTCACCTACTCATCATTTCTTATAGAACAACAGTATTCCATTACATTTGTATACCACAACTTGTTAAGCCATTTCCCAATTGATGGGCGTCCCCTCAATTTCCAATTCTTTGCCACCACAAAAAGGGCTTCTATATATATTTTTCTTCATGTGAATCCTTTTCCCATTTTTATGATCTGTTTGGGATACAGACCTAGAAGTGGTATTGCTGAATCAAAGAACATCCATAGTTTTATAGGCCTTTGGGCATAGTTCTAAATTGCTTTCCAGAATGGTCGGATTAGTTCACAACTCCACCAACAATGCATTAGTGTACCAATTTTCCCACATCTTCTCCAACATTAATATTTTTCCTGTTTTGTCATGTCTGTGTCCTTCTTAAAGGAACAGCACACTAATATTCCAGATGTGGGTTAACCTAGCCAGAGGAGAGCAAAACTTGTTCTTAATATTTTGCCTCTTTTCATGAAACATAAAACTATATTTTTTATGTTTTGTCTCACTACTGATTGATGTTGAGCTTACAATCAACTAAAACCCCAGATCATTTTCATGTTAGACTTTTAACTAGTCACACCTCTCCAATCCTATATGTATGCAATTGACTTTTTCTTAATTCAACCAATGGACTTTTCATTTATCTGTTGGGAGCAACACAGTCCTTTTGGTCATCTGTGATGTCCACCACCTCAGAATCATCCTGGATTCTTCCCTTTCCTTCAAATCCAATCAGTTACTGAGACATATTGCTTCTACCTTCACAATTTGTCTCACACCCATACCCAGCTCTCCACTTACAGGTCCCTATGCTAATAGTTCAAGACCTTATCACTTCTCACACGTCCTGTTGCAATAGTCTTCTCCTCAATTTTCTAGACCCTGTTCTCTCTTCTCTCCAGTCTATCATCTACACAACTACTAAAGTAATATTCCTCAAGTATATGTCTAACCAAGTCACTTATCTGCTCAAGAACTTCCAATGATTCTTTTTTTCCTCTAGTACACTGATTCTTAACCTTTTCTCTATAATGAACTCCTTTGATTGTTTATGGAAAACCCTTCTCAGAAAGCCAATAGAACTCTTCTCAGAATATTAAGGGTCTTTTTTATTCAAAATTGAGGAAAATGCTAAATTTCCATGAGAGGTTAGTGAAAATAAATATGTAACTTTTTCTCATCCAAGTTCATACACACAGACACACAGAACACAGACACAGACACACAGACACAGACACACACAGGCACACACAAAATCTATCCATGTACCCCCTGGAATTCTACATGCTCCCAACGAAGAATCCTTGCTCTAAGACCAAAGGCAGCTAGTGTCCCAGTAGATAGAGTGCTGGGCCTAAAGTAGAAAGATCTGATTTCAAATCCAGTCTCACACATTTACTAGCTGTGTAACCATGGGCAAATCACTTGACTTCTGTTTGCCTCAGTTTCTTCAACTTTAAAATGGGGGTAATAATAGCACCTACTTTGAAGGATTGTTGTAAGAATCAAACGAGATAATATTTGTTGGGGAAAAAAAGGAAGGAAGGAAGGCAGGAAAGCAGGCAGGCAGGAAGGAAAGCATTTAGTACAGTGCCTAGCACACAGTAAGTGCTATATAGGTGCTTATTCCCTTCTCCACCTTTTTTCCTAGGACATGGAAAAAAAAAACCTTGCGTTTGGCTTTTAAAGTCTTTCTTAGTCTGATTCTAGTCTTCTTTCCCAGAGTTATATCACATCACTCATCTTCATGCAGGTTAAACTGGTTTGCTAGCTATTGGCCACACACAACATTCATTCTCTCTTCTCCATGCCTTTGCATAGGTTGTCTCCCATGCCCAGAATGCACTCCCTCCTCACCTTATGTAGAATCTCTTACTTCTTTCCAAACTCAGCTAAAATGTCCTTGTCTATTGCTGGAATCCCATCCTCATACCTCCAGCCACTATTGCCCTCCTCCCCAAATGAAGTCCTCTCAACGCCATCACTTTTCCTTTGTTCTTCACATACTCATACACAAGTACACATAGTCATTTTATTGTAGCGCAAACCAATAACCTTATGTGACTGTGAGCAGGTCATTCCACCTCTCTGGGCCCTTCTTTCCTCAGGTACAAAATGAGGGGGTTAAATTAAGTAACCTCTAAAGTCCTTTCCCACTCTGAATTTCTATGACTCTGTGGTTCTAGATTGACATTCTTTGTATGTGATGCCCAAGGTTTTCAGACACACATTTAGAAAAATCCCTGCTGGACACAACACAGACATGCTACCTGGATGGTTTTAATCCAGGGAGTTTGGGGCATTGTTAATACATGTCTGGCACATTATCTCAGAAAGCCTCTTTCCTTTTGTAATGGGTATGATGGAAACTCCATTTATCCCTACTTTGTTTTTGTGCATTTACTTCAAGTGCTTAGGAAAAAAAGCTCCACAAAGTTCTCTCTTTTATTCTCATTCTGCATTGTCATAGAGCAGAATTCAAAATAAATTCAGTCACCATTTCCCTGACTTTGTCATATAGGAAAAGCATTGACTGGTCCATCTGAATTCAACATTTCCACCCAGAAACACAGGAGAGAAGTATCTGGTAGCAAAGGAAATTGACAAGCTCATTCCTTCATTTCAGTCTGGCTCAAGGGTTGAGTGACGGGTTTGTGTGTACGTGCTCTTTGTTCTTTTTAATTTTTAGTTGAAAGGCATAGACAAAAGACCAGTGACAATAACAGAATCTACCTCAACTGGGGAAAAGATGGATAAAGAAACAAGTCCCATAAGATTTTCAATACTCTGATTATCCAAAGGCAAATGTAGAGTTTTCTCAAAAAATTATTTCATTATTACAGAATCTGAAAATGAACTTATTTTTTTAATCTGTCTTATAGATAGTAGGAGAAAAGCAGCACAACCAATCAGGTAAAATGCTAGACTTAGGGTCAAGGAGACCTGGGTCCAAATTCAGCCTCATATAATTACGAATTATTTGGCCCTAAACAAGTTATGACTTCTTTAAGCCACATTTTCCCCATGTATACAATGGGAAGAATACTAGGACCTACCACGCTGTGAGGACCAAATATATCTAAAGTACTTTCCAATCTTAAAGCACTATATGAGTATAAGCTATTATTAGGACAAAGAAGGGTAACCCTCAAAGATACAGAATAATACAAGCTCTCAGGCTTCAGAGGGTCAAGATTTCTTCTTTTAAAAGACTAGCTCTCCTGTTCTCATGGAGGCTGAAAGTGCAGGTACTACTTATGGACCTCATCCCATTCTAATCAGTAAGGAAGTTTTGGTCAGTTTGTCCCTTCCTAACAACCTCATATTATATCATTTCCCCCTATCCCCACCCCTGCCACGGGAGACACCCAATTAGAAGAAAAGCAACAGATTAAGTACCTACTATGTATTAAGTACTTGTTAAGTGCTTTATAAATATTACCCCAATGATCCTCATAGTAATCCTAGCAGTTGGGTGCTGTTATTATCTCTATTTTCCAGTTGAGGAAATGAGGGCAGACAGAGCTTAAGTGATCACGCAGGATCACACAGCTAGTAAGTAACTGAGGTCAGATTTGAACTCAAGTCTTATAGACTCTAGACCCTGCATTCTACCCACTGTACCACCTCTAATTGGCTTAGCCTACTGCAGCTCAGAACTCCAGAGCCCAAGATATCCACCTGACTCAGCTGTTCAGTAGCTGGGATTACAAGAGTGTACCACCTCCCCATGCTGTAGTCAGCATTTCAAACAAGAAGTATTTATTAAGCACTTTTTATATGTCAAGCACTATGGACACAGATTTTTTTA